TTTTTTTTTTTTTTTTTTTTTTAAATCCAATTTCGTTTTTGATTTTATTAAAATCCTAAACAAAGTCGGATTCAAAAACAAAAAATATGGAATTGTAGGGCTTAAAATTCCCTACAACCCCATATATTTTTTATTTTTTTTTACCTATGATTTAATTCAGGAAAATTCGTGTAAAATCGTGTCCGCGGTGCGGACGAGGTAGGCCGTGGATGCGGACCCATTTGGGTCCGCGATCCGAGCTTGACCCCGCGGACGCGTCCGCGGGTGTTTCGTGGCCAGGGATATGAAGTATTGAGTATTGTCCGTATCCGGGTAGTCTGGGCCTCTTGGGTCGCTGGTTATAGCCCAATTGAAATCCCCCACGCACTGTCGGTCGTGCTTCGTCAAACAAAGGAATTCCGGTTTTCTCAAGTTTCCCCGTAGTCGAGATATTCCGGGTTCCTTAGGTTCTCGTAGTCGGACGCCGAAGAGGGAGATCTCGCAGCCATGTTCGTTTCATAAGTCGAATCCCCGACATCCTTACACAGGGTTAAAAGCTGACTTACACAGACGAGCACGTACGTGGCGACTCGGCTTTCTCGAGATCACGAACGTACGCGCACGCACACGTAAGGAACAACCGATTGGTTTCGTGTGCCGGTCTCGTTCAGCACAAGTGCAAATATCCTACCAATCACTACATGCCATACATGTGACGCAAAAGGAGGGAAGAGGGAGCAGGATGATCAACGATTGGACCCCAGACATCCAAAGCGAGCATTGCCAATCAGATTTGATTGCCTAACTTACGCAAGCGAACATTGGTCAGAGACGAAACGGGCATCTCAAAACAGATTGGACATCCGAAAAGATCGCTAATAGAAGGGAATTTACATTCATTTCATGCATACATACCGAGTAAAATAACAAGGAAAATCCGAGACAATGTACAAGAGAAGTCCAAAAAAGGAGGACCGTGATAAAGAAATCGGCCATATCAGAATCCAAAATTATGCATATGAACAAAGGAAAGAAGAAACAACGAAAAAAAAACTCATCCCACACCCACACAACCGCTCTCTCTCTCTCTCTTTCTCTGTTCCCGATGCAGGCAGTCCGTCGCCTCGCATCAACACTCACGATACCGGCAGTCTGTCGCCTCGTATCAACGCAGAGTTGTCAACCCGCTTGGTTCAAGCATGCAAGCCAGGTTCGCCCGTGCGCCACAGTCCGTCGCGGCCCCGCATGTCAACCCCGCATACCCAACACCAGCTCATCGGATCGCCCAACTCTTGCACTCACTTACCTTCCAAACTTGCTCGTTAGCCGACCCTCACTGATCGCACTAACCTCGAAATTCTTAAACCAAACTAATCGCGCGTGCAAATTTTATAGCATGCATGCCTGCGCGAAAGGTACGGGATTAAGCCCAGGTGGACAAGAAAGGAAGAGAGGAAGTGCCTATGTCTGCATGGCCAGGCCGCGACGTGGGGGTCGTAGCCACACTCCACGCATCGACCCGGTCATGCAGGCGCTTCCGCCAATTAGAACAGAGTAAGCGAGACGAGGAAGAAGAAGAAGAAGGCGGGCAACATAGGGAAACCAAGAAAGAAGAAAGATTACAGTTATGATCGCGCCCGCCAAAAGCGACAGTTGCACAAGATTAAAGGCGCGATCTAGTCAGAACCTAGTTCCCCGTGCAACAAGATGCGTGCGAACGTTGCGCGACAAAATTCAGAGTACCTAAATTCCTAGTCTAAGTCCTAATTGCAAAAGAAAATTCCAAAAAGAAAAACAATTCCGAGAGCCCGTGGGGGCTCGACATCAGTTAAAAATTCAAAACAGATATTCCCGCGCGATGATCGCGCCAAAATTCCCAGTGCTCACAGCAGAACAAGAAAGGAAAAGAAAAAGCTATGGTATAGTCATTCTTCGCTCTTGCCACAGCGCGACTACCCAACAGTTGGCACGGGATTTTCCCGGCACCGATCCGACAGCTTCCAGCAAAAACAAGAAGAAACCTAGGGTATGCATGCAACTAGCCCGCCCGACCCGTCTTTCCATGGCTCACCCCTTCAACTTGTCGAATTCCCCCCCCCGGCAGCCTCGCGCAAAAAGTCGCGTGGTTACAGAAAGTAGTTCGTCACAGACCTTCCAAGTCAACCCAGAGTGGACAGAGCAGTACTGGGGCCATAACCTACGGGTAGCCTTGGCTATGCTGAAAAACCGGTCCCGAGTTCCATGGCAATGGCTAGAGAGTCTAAGAGAGAGCAAAAAGGACACCTACCTCACAGTGACCTCAGGTAAACACTATCCAAAAGCTAAGAGCGCCTTACAAGGTCTTTGGGAGCAACAAAACATCTCAGCTCAGACAGAATGCTCCTGGTCTGGGTCAAACAATGCTGTTTGGGAGAGAGAGAGAGATCTGGGAACTCTGAGGCAGGTTGCCCACCGAGCAGCCAATCCGGGCAAAAGGCTTGCTGAAGCGGTCATCCTGTACTGACATGCACCCGTAGCACACGTGTCTTTGAGTTGAAGGACGGAGAGAATATTGTCATCGCTTCAACACAAGCATGGCACACACAAATCAAGAAAGTGCACTCGAGCTGCAAAATGGAGTTCTTCCTTCTCCAAGTCTTGTAAGGAACACTTCTGGATCTTGCCGGTCTACAAGGTACAGTCAATCTTGTGTCTGTAACCCGTGATCGATATCGGAGCACACCGTTGTGCAATTCTGTGCGAGACTTCTGAGTCTAGGGTTCAAGCTGCAAGATAGTTTCTGCCACAGTCCTACAGCTTCCCTTTGTTCGGGGGTCAGGTCCTTCGCCGCAGGCTCGCAAAGCCTCATCTCCTCACGGAGTGACAAGATCTTGAAGGGTCTCAAGAACCTTATCCCACTCGGCTTGAACCACATGTCAACATTGAAGGACGGCCAGATGCGGTGCCGAAATGACCTGTAGTACCAGTCGTAGAAATACTCGTTAAGGAATCCCTCAGCGTTGGGCCCAGCAGTGTTGGGCAAGGCGGTGGCCTTCGCCAGAAGATCACCCAAGGCTTCCCTTGAGGGTTGAATGACCATAACTCGAGACGAGAACTGATCAGGAGGGAAACCAGATGGAGCCGCAGCGAAGGGTAGGTAGTCAAAAAGCCCATTCACGTTATCAACAAACAGGGACAATGGGTGTACATAGACGACCCTGGACCATTCTGTGAGGTTCCAGAGATGAAGCACGTGGTACTGCTCTCCCAATGTAACGACGGCTCCATTCTCGTCCTTGGCCTTCAGAGGGCCTACGACGCTCACAAAGTCGAAGAGGGGTACCAAAGGGGCCCATAGGTCGTTATCGAGCGTCGAAGGAACTACGAGCATGATGGGTCTGGAACTGTCCCCCCTGTGATGTTCTCTGTACGACTCTGCCCAGACTCCTGCGGCTAGCATCGTGCTCTCACTCACCAAAGTCACCACCAGCTCCTTATCTAGCTCAGGCCAGTTGGGAAGCTTTCCCTCCACAGGCACATGCCGTTTCCGAGGCAGATGTGTATAAGAGACAGGCTCCTTATCTAGCTCAGGCCAGTTGGGAAGCTTTCCCTCCACAGGCACATGCCGTTTCCGAGGCAACTGCGGCACGGGAAAGGAAGGAGGAGGAGGAGGAGGCGGCGGAGGAGGAGGAGGAAGTGGGAGCGACTGCAAACCGTCTGGGGAGAGGATGGACTGAGAGAAGGGTTTGTGGCCGTTCTCGAGGGAGGATTCTTTTAGGCGTCGGTAGACTGGGTACCAGTCCCGATGAGGAAGGAACTGCGCTGGTGCGATGGACTCTGGAGGTTCAACAGGCCGCCAATCGTTGCTTTCCAGCTTGGCAGCCACCGCCCTCCACGCCCTGCACCACACCGTGCCACGTGGGCTCTCGTCCGACTTCCACGGCTTGGACCATCCGCCTGTGAAGTGCACGATGCGGACAGGAGCCTCCACGTGATCTGTCAGTCCGTTCGACACGCCTCCTCCTCCTCCCATTGCACCTGGTCCAGGTCTGGGCAACTGCAGGAACTCGTCAGCGCGATTCACATTGAACCAGCTAGGTGGATGATAAGATCGTGCGAAATGCATGATGGCATTGCACCTGAAAGGCAGCCGATGATCGCTACCCAGATGGAACCACCCGCTGAAGTAGGAGTTGAAAAAGCCCTGATCTCCTCCGTTGTACGTGGGCAGCTTAGGAATGGCGGCGATCAGCGACTCGTACGTGGCAATCGACGGTTGGATGACCATCAACCCTGCGTTGAATTGGTGTGTGTCGTAGCTGTTCGGTCCCGCCGCTGGTTCCGGATGCTCGAACAGATCGTCTACGTTGTCCAGCACCAGCATGTCGATGTCCAAGTACACAACCTTCGCGTACTCTGTCAGAAGCCAGCAATTGATCTTGGTGTAGTCGGGACGAAAGCTACCAGCCACACGATTGACATCTCGGACGACATCGTAATGAGCCTGCAAAAGCTCGCGCATCTCCTTCTCCCCTTTGCTCCTCCTCCTCTCACTACTTCCTCGGTCTTTCTTCCCTCCAAGTGTCATCCATGTCCCGTTCTTCTTCTCCCAACCTTCCACAAGGAAAATGATGAGATGGTGGGGAGTCCCCGTGCTCCGTAGACACTGGGCGAGCACCAGTGCTTGAGCAACTAGACTCGACGTGTCGAGCGCCGCTACGTAGGCATACATTTGTCGCTTAACAATCGGACGGTGTTCCACAGCACGCGGAGATTGAGATTGCTGTTCTGACCTCACAGCCTTCTCACGACTACCCAGGGTCTCAAACCTCTGGGACACAGTCCCCTCCTCTACGTCGGGTACAGCACGCCAGTAGCTGTACCGCAGCGGCATGCAGCCCCAATGCCTCGCAAGCTCGTTCATGCACACGTGGTCATCCTTCTCCTTCCCTGCGCGATGGTCCAACTCCTCCTTTTCCATGTTACGAGTATCCCCACCACCTCCTTCTCCCCACTCCATCAACTTCCCATCGACGAGGACAGGCGCTGCCTGACTCTTGTTGGCCACAAGAAAATTCATGGCAATCTCCTCGCAGGCCCCCCCCTCCCTCTTGACCAACTCCCGAACCCACGGAGCATTGTGACACGTGTAATCGAACAAATACTGGGTCGATAGCAGCATGAACCTGCTTGATATCATGGAGAGTCGAGAAGTAGGTGAATGCAGGTACTCCCAAGTCCCATTCGGAGTGTAATACTCATGGGACCGGGGAAAGAGTCCGACAATGCGGCCTCGATTGGCCCGCCACACCTTCAGCGCAAACTCTAAACTGCCAGCGTCTGGCAGGGCGTCGTCGTCGGCGATGGCCACCGCGGCAGTGCTGATGAATGTGCGAGGAAGGAAGCGCGAATCCGAAGTGCCCGCAGTCAGCACAACTCGAATCGGAGCGCCATAGCCATCACCATCACCATAGCCATCGCCATAGCTATAGCTCTGCAAGCTTTCTTCTAACACGGAGACACTAGCATTAGCCTCACCCCAGAGAACGATGATGGCATCCACAACATCGATGCGAGATAAAAACAGCAACTTTCTTCGCAGAAGGGAAACTCTGGACGGCAGAAAACGACTAAGTATAAGTGTCAGCTTGTCATCTCTAAGATCAGCTAAGGGCGGGTACAGTGCTCGGTCGCACACAGCAGCAGCAGCATCGTCTAAGACTTCTCCTCCGCCGGGTGCTTTCTTCAACTCAAGTAGGTGTGGCAAGCTCCCATTGGAGAGCCCTACGCTGCCTAGATGACCGATTTCGTTGAGCCACGAATAGCAGAAGAGGAAGAGAAGGACGGAAGCGGAACACATGTACGCTACCCACTCACTGCGATACTTACCTCTTCCCCAGTCTAACCGAGGACAGAGTATCGCCATCTGGAAAGTAGAGATTCCAAGATCGGCCCGTTAATAACCTCCCTCCCTCATAACAACTTACACAAATACTCTCTCTCTCTCTCTCTCTCTCTGTCTCTCTCCCCCCCTACGAGCTGAAGGTGTCTCCTCCCTTAAACTCCTCTGCGTGCAATCGGTACAACTGTCGCACCGCTGATTACCATGCGTCTCGCGTTCAGAACTGTGCTCGTCGTTACGTCCCTTCAGCACCATGTCCGCCTACAGAGAACATATTTCCCGCACTCCGATCTTTCCAGCTGTCACCCCCATACCATGACGTGTCCCTCACGACATCATCCCGAACGATACGCGCA